CCCGCGCCGCCCACGTGACCGCCGCCCCGCCCGCTCCCCGCCCGGCGGCGCGCGAAATGCGGCGCCCCCGCCGCGCGAAATAAGTCTCGGGCATGCGCGGGGGGCCTGCGCGGTGGGGCGGCCGGCACGCGCTGTGACACCCCCCTCGCAGCGCCCCTCGCACTGCCCCTCACACCGCTCCTCGCAGCGCCCTTCGCACTGCCCCTGGTAGCGCCCCTCACACTGCCACTCACACTGCCACTCACAGTGCCCCTCACACTGTCACTCACAGCGCCCCTCACAGCGCCCCTCACACTGCCCCTCACAGCGCCCCTCACACTGCCACTCACAGCGCCCCTCACACTGCCCCTCACGCTGCCCCTCACACCGCTCCTCGCAGCGCCCCTCACACTGCCACTCACACCGCCCCTCACACTGCCCCTCACCCCGCCCCTCGCGCCCTTCGCACTGCCCCTCACACCGCTCCTCGCAGCGCCCCTCACACCGCTCCTCGCAGCGCCCCTCGCACTGCCACTCACAGCGCCCCTCACACCGCCCCTCACACTGCCACTCACAGCGCCCCTCACACCGCTCCTCACACTGCCACTCACAGTGCCACTCACAGCGCCCCTCACGCTGCCCCTCACACCGCTCCTCGCAGCGCCCCTCGCACTGCCCCTGGTAGCGCTCCTCACAGCGCCCCTCACACCACTCCTCACACTGCCCCTGGCAGCGCCCCTCACAGCGCCCCTCACACTGCCACTCACAGTGCCCCTCACGCTGCCCCTCACACTGCCCCTCACACTGCCCCTCACACTGCCACTCACACCGCCACTCACACCACTCCTCACACTGCCACTCACAGTGCCCCTCACGCTGCCACTCACACTGCCTCTCACACTGCCCCTGGCAGTGCCACTCACACCGCTCCTCACACTGCCTCTCACACTGCCCCTGGCAGCGCCCCTCACAGCGCCCCTCACACTGCTCCTGGCAGCACCTCTCACACCGCTCCTCACACTGCCTCTCACACTGCCCCGGCCCCACTCCGTCCCTCGAGCCGGGCAGGGATGCCCTCACGGCAACAGGCGCGGAGGGTGTTGAGTCTCCCTCTCTGCAGTCATTCCAAAGCCACCGGGATGCCTCCCTGGGTCACCTGCTGCAGGTGGCTCTGCCGTGGCAGGGGGTTGGACTGGATGATCTCCTGACGTCCCTTCCAACCCCAGCTATTCTGGTTCTGCGATTCTGTGTCCCCCTTGTCCCCCTGCCCGGTCTCCTTCTCTCACGGCTCGGGGTTGCCTCAGATGCTCGTCCCTCACTGCCTCGGCTGCTTGCGGTGGGTTGTGCTCCTGCTGTCCCTGAGGGGAGCCTGCACCCCTCTGCCCGGGATGTGGCCCTTGCCAGGGTGACCCTCCGACATGACTGGCACAGATGCTGAGGCTGCGGGCAGAACAACTTGTGGCCACTCACCTGCAGCTCACCTGTCCTTGGCTCTGCCCTTCCCATGCTGTGTGTGGCCTTTCGCCTGTATCAGCCTTGGCTTTGTTGTCTCCCCTCTTCACGTTCCCAGCTCCGTGGTATTAGGGCATATTGACTGTGTCACCTCAGCACCAAGAGGGCTGTGGAACTAACAGATTCACTTTTTAAGCTGGTTCTTATGGTCACCCTTGTCACCTGGTGCTTTTGTCTCCTGCTCAAGAGAACCTGCTGAGGGAATAGGCTTGGCAGAGAAGGGCGTGTGGAGCTCTTTGGTCTGGCTTTGAGGAGAAAGCATTAGGAGCAGAGCCCTGGGGGAATCGGGACATTTGCCAAGAAGCGAGAAGGAGAGAAGAAGAGCAAGGAGCAAGATGGAAAGCCCCAGCCTGTGAAGTCTCAATGTTCAGAACAGAGAAGAGGGGCTCTGGAAGCACAGCATTGGTTTTCCTTCATCTACTGGGTGAACATGCTGTTGTGTAGTTTGGAATATATTGGGAGAGATTTGAAGGGCAGGTAGAAAAAGAGAAATAATTTAATACTTCTTCTCCACAAAGAACCAAGTCTGTCTCCTGTAGCTGCTAATCATTCCTCCACTGAGATCCCCAGCCAGAGGAACACACACAGGCTGAGTGTATTTTTCCAATATTCTCCCTCTGGGCTACTCTGACTCTCGGGGGATGAGGCTCTGCTTGACTGTATAATACGTTGTTTACTCTGTACCCTTAGGCCACCAATCAAGTCATATTTTTAGTATGTTTTCTATGAGTATTGAGTGATTATGTGAAATACTGGGAATTGGATACACCCTCTGTATCCAGAAGGCAAGTGACACCTTTGCCACCTCTCTGCACACCACATCTCCAGGACAGCACGCAGTGACTTTTAAGCTGGTGTGAGCCAGAGGAGGAGGAAGCACAAAGCTGTCAGTAACCCGAGAGTGTGAGAGCGTGTACCTTACAGAAGGCCACGCTGCCCGTTGCAGAGGCACATGGCTGGTTTTTAAACATTCTCAGATATCAACCTAGAGACCATCTCCTAATCTGACCTTAGATCTCCCTGTTCAGATTTTTCTTTCTGTTTAACAAATGCATTTCTCTACCTTACTTTGGGTTCTTTTGTCTCATAGCTGCCTGCCAGTTCTCTACAATCTGACTATACAGAAGCTGCACTGGTATTGCTCAAGTGTTACAATTTCTGTGTACAGCAAGTTCAAATATTATAAGATCTCTGTCTTCCGAAAAATATTAAGCTGTGCTGTGTCAAACAACTGTTACCTGTTGGGTTTTTTTGAAAATAACTGTGTAATTTTCAAGGCAAAGTAATTGATTATAGTTTCCTGCATATCCATCACCATTAAAGTGACTTAAGAGACCTGTAGTCAGATACATTTCTGCAGACATTCATTGCGTGGCTGAAAGTCTGCTCAGTCTGTTTTCTTCTTGAATGTGTGTATGTGGATAACAGACACAATACGTGATTCATTTTGCATTCTTCGTAGAAACAAATCCCCAGACTTGCATGTCTATGGAAAAAAATAAGATTAAAACCCATCCATCTAACTCATCCTCCATTGTAAAATATTTTTGTTCTGTGTAATATTTATGCCAAGCATTAGAAATCACAGGTCACCTTCTTGGGTACGGTACAGGTGAATTACTCCTTTTCTGGGTCTGATCCAGCAGGAGCATTTCCATGAGCCCTAATTGATTTGGGAGTATCAGACAGATCCTCGGGAAGTTCTTTCTCCAGTGTGCTCTTGCCTCCAGCTGAGTATTTCAAGTCATCTTAGCAGAAAGAATACCACAGACCTCCACACACATTTGTTCTTAGGCTGCCTGTTAGCTTTCCTGTGGAAATACATCTTGCCTGGCATCTGGTGTGAGAAAACAGCATGCTTTTTCCCTCTTTTTTTTTTTTTCTTAGGCTCTGGTACCTTGCTGAGTCACTGTTTTTGAGGTTAATGAGTAGTGTACTCAACTGGATACTCAGTAATTAACACCCACGGAAAGGGTACTTCTCCAGCACGTAATAACAGACCTATAATCTTCTGATTTGAGACAGATATCAAAAGCTTTCTGTTCCTAAATAACAAAGACAGAAAGGCTAACACAGACCAAAAGCAACAATTGCAATTTCCATGTCACCATTATACACTGGAACAAAATAAAATTTGCAAAAACACTAGAAGCCATTTTCTTAGGACTAGCCCCTGGCATACCTAAATGGAAAGGATATTTTGAACTAACTTGAATATCAGGAGATAATTCATTGCTTGAGGAAATAGCAAGAACCTTGCTTCTAGCAAGAGTAACTTGCACTGTGCTTTGGCATTAAGCTCCAAAGATGGAATTTTTAAGTTCCGTCCACATAGGAATCTCAGCAGAGGCAAATGTGCCTTTCTGAGGTTATCATCCTTTTAGGAGATGGGTGGTTTGAAATAGCAGAGTGTCTGCCTTGCAGACTATTATTTTTGTTTTAGAGGAAGTTTGATCTGGGAACACAAAAATCCAAGAGAAATGGAGAAAAGAGCCTTTGTGTTATTGTTTCCACCCTGCTCGTACAGTGCATTTATAAGAATAGCAAATGATGAGAACCAAAATTGTAATACAAAATAAAAGCCAGGGTGATTGTGTGGATGGCAGAGGAATTTAAAACAGTTCCATAAAACTAAACCAATTTTTTCCAAATTGTATTACTTATCAGAGAGGATTGTCTGGCTTTGTAGCTAAGGGCTGCACGTGTTGTTTTAAAAAGTGTTTTCCTAGAAGGTGGTTGGAAACAGAAACAGTTATGGAAGAAGGAGCATCCAAAGTGAACCAACAAGAAAGAATAGAAACTTGTGGCCTTAAAAAAACCCAAATAGCTCAAGACTAAAGATAAAGGCAGTACAAAAAATAGTTAGCTGAAACCCAGGGGCAGGCAGGTTTCCAGAACAACTTCGAAAGAAAATACTCAGAAAAGAGACAATTGTTCCTTTTACAAATGAAGGGAGTAACCCAGTCAGTGGGACTCACTGCCATGAGGCAGCTCTGAGATCCAGAATAATGAGAACTCTCCAAGTAACCAGAACATTGGTTACAGGGTGGCTGAGGGGGATGTACATTTTAATGCCTCAGAACTTAAAACAGATTCTAAAACAAGGAGACAGGAGACTGAACTGATGGATCATCAGCCTGATCCAATCTGCCGGGTCAGGGCTGGCACACATCTGAACCCATGTTCACTTCTCTGGTGTTTTAGTTCCTGTGTTTGGAGCGATGCTGTATCCATCCTCACGGGTACCAGGAGATCACGGGGCACATGAAAAAGTTGGTAAATTAAACTGGGCCTGAAAAAGTTGAAGTTCAGATTTTTGTAGCTGGTATAAATAATTGTGTAATGGGCAGCTATTTCTTAAAAATAGGTTAGAGTTCAGGAAATCTGGGAACTGGGAGGAAAAAAAGAAAAAGCTGGATGGCATCAGCAGAAGTATAGGTTTCCCCAGAAAAGATGAAAAACTAAGTCATCTATTCTTCTTGTTTTTCTAGTTGGTTATAATATAACTCTGAAGTATCTATGACTAATTTTAGCAGGGGAAAAAAAGAAAAATCAGACCATGCAGGGGATAAGAAGTTCAGAGTCTTGATTTATTTCACTCAAGTGGATCTATAGTAATTTACAGCAGGGGAAAATGTGGTCCCTGGTGAACAGGTCAGTCATGAGCAATAAAGCTGTGCATGTTTATCATGTATGGCCAGATAAAATCAAGAATTTTTGGATCCTGCTGGGTTCTTGGGATTTCTTAATAAACACCCTAAGCCAACTAAACTTGTGTTTGTAATTGCCTGAGATTCCTTATCCCACAGCATGAACATTGGTGAATGGCAAAATTAATAAATAGAGGGTGAAGCAGGTGTCCCTGCGTTTCAGGAAGTTTCATTTGAAAACGCAATTCCAAATTATGTGGATTGAAAAAATACTCTATTGGTTGTGAAACTGTAAAGGATGGTGATAAATGGCAAGATCAGAGTTTGTGTCATTGTGGGTGGAGTATCCTGAAGGGTTTGATGCTGCAGCCCTGTTTGACTGAATAGCTAATATCCAAAATACCAAATAAATAGTGCATTAATGAAATTTGGAGACCACCCTGGATTTGGAAGAACCATGAATATTTGTATTGGTGGAGGAACAAGTAGAAAATTTTCACCAAGAAAAAGATTTTTAAAAAGAAAATAAAATCATAGAATAGAATCACAGAATCATTAAGATTGTAAAAGATCTCCAAGATCCATGGGTCCAATCTCAGACCAATCACTGCCTTGTCAACCAGACCAGAGCACTGAGCACCACGTTCAGTTGTTCCTTCAACACCTCCAGGGATGGTGGAGCCACCATCCCCCTGGGCAGCCCTTCCCAATGCCTGACCACCCTTTCTGAGAACTATTCCTGGGAAAGGTAGTTAATTATATTCACTGGGGAAACAAAGCACCAACTGCAAATTACAGTTCTTCAGTCAGCATGCTATGAAGTGGACTGATCTTCTAGGGTGAAATTCTGACCTCAGTTACACGTAAATGAGAAAATTATTATTTTCTTCAGGAAATTCAGATAGGTTTACAATTTGATCATCGGAATTTTTTAACGTGACTAAGAGGTTTAGGACCTGCCCTCTGGTCCAGTCAAAAATTGTTCACCAAAGCATATTACTGAGTAGGTAACATGTCTCTGCTCTGAGAATTGGTCAGCTTTTATTACTAGAAAATACCAACTGTTTATAATTTAGTGATGCTGAGTTCAGATTGCAGTATTGCATGCTGTACCGGTTCTGCTGATATGTCACAGGAAATAACCAATTTACAACTTTCCTTCTCTCCCACTTCAACAAAAAGCATGTAAAAGAAACACAAGAATGGGTTTTTTCCACCATTTAAAAGCAATGTTTAAGGCAAACTATGTTTTAGCCCA